CCTGCTGAAATAAATGTTATTGTTTTCACTTGCTATTCTGTATTTCTTGCAAGTGCTGCCAAGTCTTTCTATTTTCCCAATATTAGCTACATTTCACAACATACCATTAAAAAACAAAGGTTAGGATACCATGATGTCCAAATTCAAGCGTGATGCTGTCACAAGGTGCTCTCTTCACTCTAGCATGCCTCCTTCTGGCTGCATCTGAGGATTAGCTTTTGTGAGGGCACCGTCCCTTCTTGTGGTGGTTGCATGCTATTACTCGCTGTCTTACTCTCTCAGGATTCAACCACTCCTGCTTCATAGCTCAGCCCTCCAGCCAGGTCACTGTAGTTTTCTCTTTCTGGGGAAATCATGTGTATCAAAGTATCTCAGGACTTGTTGTCCCCATTGGTCTTCTCTTTCACTGCCCCCTTACCGGTGCCACTTCCCCAATGGCTAATAGGGAACATCAAGCCCATGGGAAAACCAGGCCCACCCTCTCCACTAGGTTCCAGCCCAAGCACCTTACAATAAGGTCTGCACGGTCCTATCTCTCACTGCTGTATCCCTGGGGTGTGTCTACACAGCAAAGTTATTTCGGAATAACGGTCATTATTCCGAAACAACTTTGCGAGCGTCCACACAGCAATTCCGTTATTTCAAAATAATGGATGGCTTATTCTGACTTCTGTAAAAAACTCATTCTATGAGGAATAACGCCTGTTCCGAAATCTATTTCGAAATAAGGTGTGTGTAGATGCTCCACTTCGGCTATTTCAAAATAGCCCCTCTCCAGGGTCATTCTTAGTTATTCCTCCTGGGGCTCTAAGTCGAGATAGCACGTCTACGTTAGGGAAGCTGGCCTCAGACTAATTTTGAGGCTTCCCTGCAGTGTAGTTGTGCTATTTCGGAATAACTATTCTGGAATAGCTTATTCCAAAATAACTGTGCAATGTAGACATAGCCTGGGTGACCTGACCTTCTCTCAGCCTAACAGTGCCTGCCCACCTGCCTCCTACTCTCAGCTACAGGCCCCTCCAGTTCCTCTTTAGCTTAGCTTCATCTCTAATTAGTCCTCCTTGCTCCCTGGCTCCTACCCCAAATGCAACCTAAGTGTTTAATTGGTGCATTTTAACCCCTTCCGGCCTTATGTGGGATGGACACCCTATCACTGATTCACAGAGAAGTGAAGTGATTTGCCAGATGTCACCCAGCACGATGAAAGAAGAGAGCCAGGAATAGAACTCAGGAGTCCTGGCTTCTGGTCTCCTATGCTAACGGCCTGGAGTGAGAGTATCTCTAAAGAACTGTTTTTCTGGGAGCAACTGCCTTTTGTACTGACTGAATCTGAACCATGCCTTTGACTGTATAGGTGATCCATCGCCTGCCCATGCCCAACCTCCGAGATGAGCTCCATCACTCTGGGTGGAACACCTGCAGCAGCAGCTTTGGTGATGTCACAAAGAAACGGAACCGGTTGATTCTTCCCAGTCTGATTTCCTCCCGTATTTATGTGGTGGATGTGGGCACAGATATGCGGGCTCCCAGGATGCATAAAGTATGTCTGAGGTGGTTCCAAGATATCTGTCTTACTTAGGAGCTGGGAAATAAGACTTATAAGAGTGGATGAACAAATCCAAAGCAGGTATTTAGGACTTTTGCAGTATGTCTACACTACAGCATTATTTTGAAATATCTTATTTCAAAATAGTTCATTTGAAATAAGTTATTTTGAAATAACGTATCTACACACAAAATGCATTTTGAAATAGCGTTTTGCTATTTCAAAATAGCGTGTCCACACTGATTGGACACTGAATCACATTTAAGGCCAGCTGGAACCAGGTCCTGCAGGGTCTCAGGTCAAGAGTTACTTTGTGTGGCTGCTGCCTGAGGCTATCTGAGGCCTGTGCTTCAAGGGGCTGTCAGTATCCAGGAGGCCCTGTGGGAGAGCTTCCACCTGAGGAGCACTGAGAGCCTCCCTGGTATGCCCCACTGGGGGCTTGTGCCTCATTTCTCCCTCACGTCCTTCCATTTACCTCTCCCTAACAGCCCTTCCTGATGTCAAATAAAATACATGTATTTTCATGAACACAAACCCTCTTTATTTAACAAAACTGGGAGGGAGGGAATGAAACTCTGGTGAGACTGGGGAAAGGAGGCAGGAAAGGGGAAGAGAGAGGGTGGGAGAGGGGAGGGGGAAACCTGGGAGGAGGGAGC